AAAATTAAGAAACTCCCCTCCACATCAGCTGACTTGTAGACACCACAGTTGTACATCCCAAGTTTACAGATCTACATAGAGAGAACCCAAATAGCTTGAGAAGGGAGCTACACTAGATTAACAAGTCCAGGGAAACTGAGAAATTATACCAGTAGCACCATCCCCAAAGGAATCTGGGAAGTAAGGCAATTGGACCTACAATTAACACTTTGTAATCGGGCATTTTCCCGCCAAATCGCGTTGTAACGCGGGGCTTTTTTGACATTTTCTTGCCAAAATTAGGCTTTCCGTAAAATATTCATATCTTTCGATCTATTTGATATTTTTCTATGAAACTTTCAGTGTTTTAGTTTAAAAAGAGGTCTCTATTTATTTACTTTGCAAAATATGTTATTCTATTTTTCATGTACACAAAATTACTACATTCTAGGTAAACATAGAAAAAAAACACAATCAAAATAATTTTATTTATACAAAAGTACAATATTTTTTCGAAATTTTCAACAGATCTTATAAAAAAAAAAACTATAACCTAATAGACCTTCCCTGTGTGGTAGCATTCGAAACACTTTCCTTTGTGCAGGGGTACATAACAAAACTTGCACATGTGCCGCGTTTCACTGCGTAGTTTATGAATGGCACACACACGACAATGACGTAAAACATTTTTATTTTTGCCGGTTCCAACTAGAGGTTCCAATGTATGTTTCCTCATGTCTATTGACAGTCTCCCTGGTGGATCCGATTTGCAACCCTTGCTCCTAGATGTCAATGGTACAGGTGTGGCTGGTTCATCTATCGAAATTTCATCAGTTAGCCAATGGACCGCTATGTCTTTTAAAAAAGTTTGATATTTCTTTTTGTTAGCCGAACTGACCGAATTATATACTCTGAATGGGTTGAATAAGGCACAATTTATAAGTTACATAGCGATTCTTTTGGTCCATTTAGCCGTTTTGCATAAAATTGAGTAATACGACAAGTACGGATCCGCCCGGTCTACGCCTTTCATGTATCGGTTGTAATTGATCAGAGCATTTGGCTTTATAATTTTTTGTCTTGTCCTTCTATCAATGTTTTGACTCTCCCTCACCTCAGCAGAGTGAATGCTGGATATGAGAAACACAGTTTTATTTTTATTGCCAGACTTGCAGCAAAATATCCTTTTTCCTTCTGAAAGTTGTTTCACCATTTTTCAATGAAACCATTTTTAGACAATCCGGAAGTCCTCTATTTTTCCGTATGGTACTGCAAATTCTGATTCTTTTTTCCAAGAGTATCTCGCTTCTTTGAACACTATTGTAATAATTATCCATGTATACATGGTGCCATAAATCTGTATAAGGAGATACCATTGTTTGAATTGTTTCGATTAATCTCTTTCCTTCACCACAATAAATTTCAAAATTGCATATGTAGCCAGTATTGCTTTCACACACCATACGCACCAGAATACCATATTTTATAATTTTTCCTGCATTATAAACCCTGAAGAATAATCTTCCCCTCCACGGTACTATGCCTTTCATTTAAAGACAACTGCTGAATAGGCTTGTAAACTTCTTTGAATTTGGGAAGAAAGAAATCCAATAGCCGAAGCCGGTTTGGCTCAGTGGTAGAGCGTCGGTCTGCGGACTGAAAGGTCCCAGGTTCGATTCCGGTCAAGGGCATGTACATTGGTTGCGGGCACATCCCCAGTAGGGGGTGTGCAAGAGGCAGCTGGTCGATGTTTCTCTCTCGTCGACGTTTCTAGCTCTCTATCTCTCTCCCTTCCTCTCTGTAAAAAAATCAATAATATATATATATATATATATATATATATATATATATATATATATATATAAAAAAAGAAATCCAATAATGGTCTGACTTTGCAAAGTCTATCTGAGTTGTCTTGCACATTTTCGTTGTTGTTGAAATGCCAGGCCCTCCATATTTGACGGAATCTGTCTCTACTCATCGTTTTTGGAGAAAACAGTGTCTCCATCCACGGTTCCGTGCTCCAATAATCATCTCGTCAGTCCTTGCGTACCTGTCCCATAAGTATTACAAGCCCCAAAACTTCTTCATTTCTTTCACAGTGATATCTTTCCACTTACCGCTACTTATTTTTATGGCTATTGTTTTTGTGCAGGCCCAAATTTATTGTATCGGCAGGTAGACGCATAGGGTACCGCTGACAATAGATAATGCATAGTCCATCATCCGTTTGGCACCCTTGTTTACAAGTTTCCCGTGCCCCACTGCTTAACGGAACAAAACGAGTTAACTCGTTTCCCGCAAAAAATGTGTTAAAACACTAAAGGAAAACATGGGAAGACAAAAAAGAAATCAATAAAGGAAAGGGAAAGAGGAATCACCAGAAAGGGAGTTAAATGAATTCGAAGTTAGCAGTCTAACAGAGACAGAATTCAGAGTAATGGTTATAAAAATGTTTAAACGGCTAGAGGATAAATGCACACAACTCAATAATAATTACACACAACTCAATGAGAAGTACAAAGAGCTGAATGAGAATGTCACCAACATGAAAAAATACCAAGAGGAGATGAAGAACGACATAGCTGCAATAAAAAACACAGTGGAAGGCTTAAAAAGTAGAAGAGGCTGAGGACTGCATCAGTGAAGTAGAAAACAAGATAGGAAAAAGACACACAAATGCAGTAGTAACTGGGAAGAAGACTTAAAAAGCAAGAGGAGAGCCTAAAGGAGCTATGGGACAACTCAAAACGAAACAACAGTAGAATAATAGGGATACAAGAAGGAGAAGAAGAAAAGCAAGGAAATCTCCTGGAAGAAATAATGACAGAAAACTTCCCTGATATTGGCAAGGAAAAAACTATCCAAGTCCAAGAAGTAGAGTGTCCCAAACAAATTGAACCCCAAAAGACCGACACCAAAACACATCATAATTAAATTGACAAACACCAATGACAAAGCAAGAATCTTAAAGGCTGCAACAGAGAGACAGAAAGTTACATACAAGGGATCTCCTATTAGAATAGCAACTGATTTCTCAACAGAAACACACCAGGCCTGGAGGGAATGGAATGAAATAAAATATACAAAGTGATGCAAAACAAGGGACTGAATCCAAGAGTACTATACCTAGTAAGGCTATCATTCAGAATTGATGGTGGGATCAGAAGCTTCACAGACAAAAAAGGGCTAAGAGAATTCATCACTACCAAGCCAGCAATGCAAGAAATGCTAAAGGGACTGCTGTAAAAAGGAGAAAGAGAAAGGCAAGGAGAAACACAAACACTAAGGGTAAATATAACAACAAACAGGTCCTTATCAATTGTAACATTAAACGTAAATGGATTAAATGCATCAGTAAAAAGACACAGGGTAACTGGATAAGAAAACAAAATGTATAGGGAACACATACAACTTAACTAAAGGGAGCTTAGCTCCCTTTTGTTAAGTTGTATGTGTTCCCTATACATTTAAAAATTTAAAAATTTTAAAATGGGCAAAGGCTCTAAATATACACTTCTCCAAAATGGACATACAGAAAGCCAAGAGGCATATGAAAAAATGCTCAAAGTTACTAATCATCCAAGAGATGCAAAACAAAATGACAATAAGATATCACCTCACACTTCTCAGAATGGCTACCATCAAATCAACTAACCACAAGTGTTGGCAAGGATGTGTAGAAAAAAGAACCCTCATATGCTGCTGGTGGAAATGCAGACTGGTGCAGCCACTGTGGAAAACAGTATGGAGTTTCCTCAAAAATTAAAAATGGAACTGCCATTTGACCCAATCATCCCACTTTTAGGAATATACCCTAAGAAATCTGAAACACTCATCAGAAAGAATATACACACCTCTATATTCACAGCAGCACAATTCACCATAGCTAAGATTTGGAAACAGCGTTAAGTGCCCATCAGCAGATGAGTGGATTAAAAAAAACTATGGTACATTTACACAATGGAATACTACACAGCAATAAAAAACAAAGAACTCTTATCATCTGCAACAACAGGGATGGACCTGGACAGTATTATGCTGAATGAAATAAGGCAGTTAGAGAAAGTTAAGTGTCACATGCTCTCACTCATATGTAGAATCTAATGAACCAAATAAACTGATGATCAAAAACAGACCCAGCCAGAGTCAAAGAAGCACAAACAGACTGTTGAACCTCAGAGGGAAGGGAGGGGACGGAGGGTAGGAAGAGATCAACCAATGAACTTGTATGGATATATGCATGACCCATGGACACAGACAATGGGGTAGTGAGAGCCTGGGGTGGGAGCGGGGAGGACAGAAGCAAACTCGAAGAGGTTAATGGGGGTTTGGGGGGATGGGGGAAAGAACCAATGTAATGCTTTCAACAATAAAGATTTTTTTAAAAGAAGAAAAGCAAAGCACATCAGCCATGTAGGTCCTACAGCTAAGAGACTATAGTTTGAGACCTAAAAATCTCCTCATTAATTAAAAATATGATGAACTTAAACTCTCTAAGACTATATAAAAAACTAAGAATTATGGATACACCAACTATAATCAATGTCTACTGAGTTACGGATAATCATGTTTTCTGAATAGCCACTGATGGTTGGTTGCTTCAAATGATGAATCTTGCCATTAAAATTTGCTATAAAAGGACTGTGAAAATCTGTACTTTAGGGAAACAGGGTATTAAACAAATTTTGCTCTTCTCTTTGGTCTCAATCTACTTGCCCTTTTTTTTTTTTTCAATGCAAACAGATTTTCAGGTTGATAATAAAAATCCAGAACCAATAAGATTCAAATGTACAAATATTATAAAGGCATTTTTCTCATACAAACTTTTGAAAGTTAAAAAGAACCCTTCAAATTTATCGAAACTTATCTAGCAAGAAACACCATGGTAAATACAGCAAGAAAAAAAAAAAACATTGTTTATAAAGAAAGAATTCTGGCCTGGAGGGGGAGCCGCGCAGGTGCCGGTCGAGCCCCGGGTCCGGAGGGGGCGAGGCGCTGGGCCGCGGGGGGCAGGCGCCATGGCCGACGCGCCCAGTGACTCCGGCGGAGTGACGGGCGGTGAGACCGCCGCACAACCTACGGGGTCTCCCTCGGCCACCGCCGAGGGCGCCGCAGAGTCAACGCGCTCCAGCAGCCAGTGCGTGTTCTGCCGGATCGTGGAGGACGGGGACACCGAGTTCCTGCACTGTGAGGATGAAAACCTAGTTTGCTTTAAAGATATCAAACCAGCAGCATCTCATCATTATCTTGTGGTGCCAAAGCAGCATATTGGAAACTGCACAGAGCTAAAGAAAGAGCAAATAGGACTTGTTGAGAGCATGGTTACTGTTGGAAAAACCATTCTTAAAAAGAATAATTTCACTGACTTCACAAATGTGAGAATGGGTTTTCATGTGCCACCATTCTGCTCCATTTCCCACTTGCACCTTCATGTCATAGCACCAGTCACTGAATTTGGCTTCATATCAAAATTGATTTATAGACCGAATTCCTATTGGTTCATCACAGCTGACTATTTGCTTGAAAAACTAAGAACATCAGAATGACATCAGTGGAAGATTTTCGTATACTTAGCTCAACAGAAACTAATATTTTGGCCCCTTTTAAATCAAATTACAATGGTAAGGTTTGTTGGGTTTTATAAGAGGCTATTACTGGGTAGCCTTAAGTCTTTTCTGAATGTCTGTTTCCTGAGATCTATAATATAGTTATATGAATACTCTGGCATTGACTTCTTTAATGGTTACTTGTCTAAGGTATAAGATATTATAGATGTAATTTCATTAAAACAAATTCTGTTAATTAAAAAAAATAAATAAAGAAAGAAAGAATTCTAATTTTGCCACTACTATAAGCCTGAAATGTTTTCTTCTTCAGGTATATGACATCTGCTTCAAAGTTTTTGTGAAAATTAAATAAGATAGTTTCTATAATGGCCATATGGCAATAACGGGCAAGATTTTAGTAAGTGTTAAATGAAAACAAATCTAGTCTAAACCTTTCATATACAGTAAGAAAACTGAGAATCAAAAGGTTAAATGACTTATTCAAGATCATACATGGATTTTTATTTTGCCCCATTGTCTAATACCACTTCTACTATTCTACCTGATTTAATTAAGGGGAAAAATTGTGCTCTGGTCTCATTATTTTAGAACTTCCTTCTCCAAAAAAGCATTAGGTATTCCAGTAAGTGAGCAAGATAAAGGTTTTGGCTAGTTTCCAAGTCTTACACTCTTTGCTGGGCTTCAATGCCCTCTAGTGCTAATCCGAAGAGGCAGCCTCAGGTTCCTCACACAGGCATGTTTATCTGGTGACAGAACAGGTAACAATGCCCCCAAAAATAAAGAGATGAAAAATGAGGCAGGTGCATGTACATAGAGACCCATCTATAACAATGACTCTTTTTTTTGGAAGATGAGATTTTGAGGTTTTACTTTCTTTTCATACTTTAAAAAAACATTTTACACCTTTTATTTGTTGTGTTTGAATTTTTATAATAAATATGTGAAACTTAAAAACAAACTAAAACCCAGAGCAGGAGAGAATCATGTGGCTAGCCCAGTAAGGAAAATTACTCTTCTTCCCCTACTGCAGTTTCAGAAAAAGAATTACACAGGCATGCAGCTTAGTATCTCCTTAAGTACGTTATGAGAAAGTTGAGTCAGAGATAAGGCAGGTCTTTATTTTTTATATTTCTATTGACTTCAGAGAGGAAAGGAGAGGGAGGGAGAGATAGAAACATCATGATGAGAATATATACGCTCCCCATTGGCATGTGCCCTTGACCAGAATCAAACCTGGGACTCTTCGGTCCACAGACTGATGCTCTACCCACTGAGCCAAATCAGCTGGGGCATAAGGCAGATCTTTAAATTAGAAAACAAAGCAAGGGAATAAAGGCAATTGACCTATTTTCTTTGGATGTACCTTATGTGCCACCAATATACTTGCAACAATATGCTGTCTTTAAACAGAAAAGCATTAAACCAAACTAAGTATTTTTTATTAGACACTTAACTGAGATCCTCCTAAAGGAAGAAAACCAAAGACGGAATGGCTATAGAGGACCAAAGTTAAAATGAAATTTCCTCTTAGATGTCAGACTCAGGCAATGATGCTTGATATGCAGATTAGAAACTATGTTAATGTCTCATGCAAACTGCAACAAGAATAATTCAAAGTTGTCCTGGCTGGTGTGCTCAGTGGTTAGAGTGTCAGCTCACACACCAAAAAGTTGCAGGTTCGATCCCTAGCCCCAAAGATGCATTCAGAGACAACCAATTAATTTGTCTCTCTCAACATGTCTGGTTTTTTTCCCCTCTCCTCCCCTGCCTCCCTCTCTAAAAATTAATGGGGGGGAAATGTCCTCCAGTGAGGATTAATAATAATAAAAAAGAATAATTTGAGGTTGAAATGACCCTTGTGTATACTGCCTTTACTCTTGAGACATGACTTACTACTTTTTCCTAGATTTTATTTGGACTGTATAGGGAAGGTTCAATATCCTGATAGCTATTCCAAAAAACCAAAGCCGCCAAATTTGATGTCCTATTGTCCTCCATTTAATCCCAAGAATCATATGACTTTTGTCATAATATAAGGAAAAACATAGTTAATATTGAAATTCTCTCCCCAAAGCACTAAAAGAAACAACAGCAGGGAGCCTGATCTAAAGACATTCCAATCGATAGAGCAGAAGGTTATCTAAGGAGTTCAAATATTACTCAAGGTTTAAAAGATACTTTAGAGAGGAAGATAACAAAACTGATATATTTTAAAGATAGAAAAGTTGCCAGACTGGCATGGCTCAGGGCTTGAGCGTTGACCTATGAATCAAGAGATCACAGTTCGATTCCCAGTCAGGGCAAATGCTCAGTTGCAGGCTTGACCCCCACTGTAGGGTATCTGTGCAGGAGGCAACCGATCAATGATTCTCTCTCATCACTGATGTTTCTATCTCACTCTCCCTCTCCTTTCCACTCTGAAATCAATAAAATAATATTTTTTAAAGATAGAAGAATTATCAAGGGAAATAGGTAAAATAATTTATTAATGACATAGCATGAAAGGTCTAGATTTCCCATATTTCTTCCTCTGTTTAAAGTATAATTCCACATAGGAAGGTCTGGTAATAATCTCTTCTTGGGATACTTCAAAGACACTACAGGAATAAAGGATCATTTAATCTAGGTCAAAAGTTTCAAAACAAAAACAGAGATCTTTCCTGGGAAAGAAAGCTTTACAAAAACCTAAACAATGAGGTTCTGTCTCCAACAACTGTCAGTTTATGGGAATAGTGTCTATAGTCGCACTCTCCAACAAAAATCTAATTTAAGACACATACGTAATCTTATATTATCTAGTAGTCACATTAAGTAGTAAAAAAAACAATGAAATTAATTGCAATATAATGTTAATACATAAAAAAATATTACCACTTCACTATGTAATCAATATAACAATGAAATATTTTAGATCCTTTTTTCATACTAAGTCTTTGAAATCAGTATGTATTTTATACTTAACCACACATCTTAGTATGTTTAGCCACAGCCACAAGGAGCTAGTGGCTGGGGTACTGACAATGTAGGTCCATCTCATGGGCTATACTTAAAAGAATGTAAGAAAGTTTGATAACTTAGAGGCAAGCATACAGAGATGAAACAGGTTATCAGTTATTAATTATCAGTAATTATAGGACTTATTCCTTAAAAATAGGACCTACTCCTTTAAAAGTATATCAAACTGTCAATCTCTTGGGTAGACTGCTTTCAATCGTAATACATGCTGAGTAAGTGCTTCCTAGATTTTACCAAAACAGTACAGTGATCAGTATCTTAGTATCTCCCTTCCCTCTACACACAAGAAGTCAGAGCGAATATTCTAGTGTCCTTCACTTAAAGCCAAGAATCACAAGCAAAGTTGATAAAGCATTATATGTTATAGTCAGTAAGGGATTATATCGTAACACAGGCAGAAGACAGTTGTCAAATATAAAGTGTATGAAAATGCTAGAAGCCACCCATCTGGAACAAAGAAGGGCAAAGTTAGATGCATACATCAGTGACATTTAGTGAGGCCTGTTCCTCCCAATATAAATAGGTATCCCATGGGAATAGCTGATATTCAAGTAGATTTAGGAATTGTGGAGTTAAATAAAATTAAATATATTCTCGATTCCCCATCACTACAGAACTATTTCTAGACCTTAATTCATGGGACTATCATGGGACTCTGTTCATTTTAGGGTGGGTTAGGAAAAGGTTTATAGTATACAGCATTTTCAATTGATTTAATACAGAAACTGTTTTTCACAAATCATCCTGAACTAGTAACCCAAGTTGGAAAATAATGATCTAGAAGCATAGGTAAGACTACTCCCATAACCCCAGGGAAAATCAAAGCTTTACTGGTAAGGACTTTAAGAACAGAGTATATTGCTGGGCTAGCTTTGAGGGTCTAGTTCCTAACATTCTAACACAAATTCTAAGGACAAAATGATCAGGAACCCCTTTTTAATTTGGTCAAATATAAAAGGTCTATCAAGCTATCATATTCACCCTATTCCTGCACTCAAATAATTATGGTTATAAAATAAAAATAATAAATTTAATTAAAACCATATCAAAAACATCTTATTTTGGCCCTATGCTCCTATAAATTAAAAAAGAAATTTTATAGAATCAAATGGAGTGGTTAAATTGATTATAAAAGTGCTGCAGTTGAAACTAGGCATGTTTACAAGCTTGGTGAACTTCGTAGCACAAAGTTAAATAAGTAACCAAGCAACGAGAATTATTAATGTACATAGAAACATCCAAAACAGTCATGGTCCAGAAACAAAAAGAATAAAAAAACTTATAAGGTAAGTTACCGTTTAACTTATCAATTAAAACAGTATGAGTAAAAAGAGTTATATTCCCAAAAGAGGTAGATTTTTCTAAAGTTTGTGGAGGGTAAAATAAAGAAAACACACCAAAAGGTATTCTGTGATCTTTCCAAATCGCAAATCTGGATTAAAAGCTCCCCCTGCATGAATTAAGTAGAGAAAACATAAAATAAAGTTGATACTTAACAAAGTATTCAGGACAGATAGTTATAACTGCCAGAAGTAGGATACATTTAATTTTGTCAACCTGGCAGGCATGAAAAGGCTGTCTCAATTTGTCTTCCCCTGAGTACTAACAATCCAAGTTCAAGTGCTGCTTTATTATTTACTATTACCCTGTTTCCTTTTTATGAAATGCCTGATTATGCTTTTTCCCCAAATTTTTGCCTGTTTCTCTTTCTTAGCAATCTTAAGAATTTAAGATTTAAAATATATGAAGATGTGTAAAGAATTTAAGGTTACTTAAGTTCTTTACACATATTCATATATTTTAAATACTAACCTTTCAGTTGTGCTGCAACTATCTCCTCTCAGTTTGTGACTTATCCTTTCATTTTCATTAAGTTGAAAAAATTAAGAACACTTTAGAATTAAATATAAATGCCCAGAAATGCTAAAGAATTCTGCCACATGTTTAAGAACTAACTCCAATTG